CTTGAATCTCAGAACCTCTGCCAATAACCTTTGAGAATTCCTAGAGAATAAGAGAGGTCCCAGCAGACTAGAGGAGGGCATATGTCATCCCCATCTTGAAAAAAGGAAAAGGAAAATAAAAGGGAAAAAATAGAATAATTACCACCCCATCAGTCTGACATCAATACCGGGAAAGATTCTGGACCAGATCATTAAAAGACGGTCTGTAAGCACTTAGAAAGGAATTACTAAAACTCAACATGTTTTTAAAAAAAAAAAAAACAAGTCATCCATGCCAAACTAATCTTAACTCATTTTTTGATAGAATCACAAGCTTTGTAGATTAAGGTATTGTATCTTGATTTCAGTGAGGCTTTTGACAAAATCCCCCATTAGATCCTTACTAAAAAGCTAATAAAATGTGGTCGAGACAATGCAACTGTTAGATGGATTTGTAATTGGTTAACCGACCAAAGCCAAAGGGCTCATCCTCATCCTGGAGAGAAGTGACTATCAGGGTGCCACAGGCTTCTGTCCTGGGCACAGTGCTATTATTCAACATATTTATCAATGACTCAGATGATGGAATGGGGGCAAGTTTATCAAATTTTCAGATGACACCAAAATTAGGAGGGAAAACTAACAACCCAAAGGACGAGATCAAAATTCAAAATGACCTTAAAAGATTAAAAAGATGGGTCAAAACTAACAAAATTGATTTCAACAGAGAGAAATGTAAGATACCGTGCTTGGTCAGTAAAAATGAAATGAACAGATATAGGATGGGGGACACTTAGGTTGACAACAGTACACGTGAAAGGAATCTAGAAGTCTTAATAGATCACGGGTAAAATATGAGTCAACAGTGTGATGCAGCAGCTAAAAAAGCCAAAGCAATTCAAGGTTGCATCAATGGAAGTACAATGTCTAGATCAAGGGAAGTAATACTACCATTCTATTCTGATTTGGTCAGGCCCGGAATACTGCATCCAGTTCTGGGTACCACAATTCAAGAATATTAACAAGCTGGAGCATCTCCAGAGGAAATGTTTTGCCATCAGATCTGGAAACCATGCTCTATGAGGAGCAGCTTAGGGAGCTAGGTATGTTTAGCCTGCAGAAGAGAAGGTTAAGGGGTGAATGATAACCATGTTTAAATATACAAAGGGATGTCATGTTGAGAATGGTGCAAGTTTGTTTTTTGTAACTCCAGAGAATAGGACCTGAAACAATGGATTCAAGCTACAGGAAAAGAGATTCCACCTAAACATTAAGAACATCCTGATAGTAAGA